TGAACTAGGCAGTCCCCCCCATCCCCAGGTTCTAGATATCTAGAGCCTATAATTCCAGGGGAAGAGGGTTCTTGACTTGCCACAGTAGAGCTAGGTTCTAATATTGATGTTTCCACGAACTTGCCATGAGACCTTGGGCCAATCACTTGCCTTAACTGGGACTGTTTCATCTGCCATAAAATTAGAGGGAATAACTAGATGACTAAGATCCCTTCTACATTTCCCATTTTGAGGACTCAAAGTCACTTCCTTTAAGGGGTCATAGTTTTTAGAGCTAGAGGCAATGTTGGAAACAATTAGAAACAGCCCCAGAGAGTCAATTGTTAAATTTTCAATGTGAGCATTTACAATTCAGGAAATTAGCAAAGGCTACAAACCAGGGCTTGATTTATTGTTTTGTTGACTGTCTAGACTTAAGAAAGTGATGGAAAAAAATGTTAATAGTTCAGATTAAACTTAAAAGTGTGTTGTGTGTGAATCTCCTCCAAGAGTCTGTTGTTAAACATTTATCAGCACACCCTTGGCCTGGCTAGAAGGGACATTAAACTCATCTACTCTTTGTTTATAAAATGGGAACAAGATTTATTGTATGGACCCCACAGGAATGTTGTGAGGACATCAAAGTATAAACCTTAACGTGCCCTATAAATATGAATTGTCATGATACAGAAGAAAGAGAATTTAATTTGGAGTCAGAGGGCCTGGGTCCATATCCGATTTGGAGCAAATTACTTTACCTCTCTGGCCTCGATTTCTTCAGCTGTAAAACGAGGGGTGATGGTGGAAAATATGTAGAAATTAGCCCTAGTGGTCAGCGATTCAACCAGGCCCAGATAAAACATCTGGCCTACACATAGATGGGAAAAGGGGGACAAAGATTTGTAAGGAAGCTATAGGTAGGTTATCCCCAAAGATGAAGGTCACTTCACAACTCTGCTGCTTTCTGTTTCAATTTCCAGGCACCTTCTACCTGCTGTGTGAGCTCTTGTTAGATTATGTAATGATACAACATGCATCCTGTAAGTCTTAGGGTGGGAGGTATATAGTGTCCACGAGTAGCGGCTAGTGTTAGACTTGGAGTCAGGAAGACCTGAATTTAAATCTTGACCCAGACTGGCGATAAGCCTCAGTTTCCTTATCTATAAAATGGTCACAATAACAATGTCCATTTCACTAGGTTGTTTTATGAGGATTAAATGAGATAATAAGTCAAGCTCTTTGCTAATCTTGAATAGTGATATAAATGGTAGCTGTTATTGTTAATAGTATATATTGATTATGCCTTGTGGACTCAGAATGCATCTGAGAGTCACTGATTCCAACCCACACATGAACAGCAAGTACCTCTTCAACCTTACATGTCATCCAGTCTCCAGTAATAGGGAACTCCCAAATTCCCAAATATGGATGATCCTAATGTTTAGGAATAAGAGCTTGAAGAAATCATCAACTGGGAGAGATGAAATGGCATTCCCCCTGGGGAAATCGTTCAGAGCTCTTTCTCACCACCAAAGTTCATGCTTTCAACATCAATATTCTCTTCCCCCAGGGATATGATATGGGTAAGAATTGTGCAACCGCATGATCTCAGAAAGATCTCAGGACCCCTGATGTTCTTCAAAGCTCAACTGAAATGTTATCTACACTAAGCCTTCCTGACCCTTCCCCTGATTACCTTGTATTTATTTTGCCTACCTCTTGTTTTTATATGTACGTGTCTTCCTTAATCAAATGTAATCTCCTTGAAGTCAGGGACTATTTCATTTTTATCACTGTACACCCAGCACAGTTCCTGACACATATATGCTGGTTGATCAATTGATTGCAACTGTAGGAGGTAGTAACAAAATGGCCCTGAAGGAAACACCAACCACGAAAGAATGCACACCTTGGAGTACAAGAGAATATGGACTTTTATTGGATACATATACAGAATACAAGTTTGGAGTGACTTCGAGAGGCCAGATGGGCACAAGTATAAAGATGGAATAGCTGTCACCCACAATGATACCCCACACCAACATCTACACCATGCTAATCTTGGTGAAGGTTCCAAAGCCATGGGGGTCTTGCCTAAGGTAGTCTAGGAAGGCACCAGTAGATATATAAAGTTCACAATACTAATTCATATTTTTTGGGGCGATTTCTATTTTTAAAATACATGAATTATCCCACTGCATCTTCACAACAGTCGTTCAAAGAAGGTAATACATTAGACAGATGACAAAAGTGAGGTTCAAGGGCTGAATGATTTGTTCATGTTGAGAGAACTAATTAGCAGAGAGCTTCCTAGGGTAATGGACTAGAGGGACTAGGAGATGGGATTCTGATCCCAGCTTTGCCACTAACTCATTGTAGGAGCTCAAGCAAATCCCCTTCTGATTAGGGATCTCACCTGTTTTTCCTCATTTACAAATGGGTAAAACTGAATGGGAAACAATCACTGCCCTCCCCTACCTCACAGCTTTGGAGGCAGGATCCAATGAAAGGCAAAGACAGATAAAGCATTGCTTGTAAGTGTTTGCTGTATGGCAAGCTAATAAGACAGAATGTGGAAAATAAAAGCAGACTTAACAATGACCCAGATCAAAGTAAACCACAGCATGGAGAAGCTCTTGTTTTAGTCTGTGAATGAAGCCTGGAAGTCACCATTGGACCTTTGGTTTGTTTTTTGCTGCTGTTCTTGTCGTTTTTATTTTTTAAAATAGTTCTAGTAAATAAAATGCATTCCCTCTAGAGAAAGGGAAATTTCAGTAGTTAGTCTTGAGATCCAGGTAACAACTAATAATAGCTTACTTTCCATGATGACCCGGAAACGGAAGCATGAAATCAAATGTACCCCAGGTAGCTATAAATAGGCTTTAGTATATTTGTTGTTGAATGGCGTAGTACAGTGGAAAGAGCACTAGATTGGGAGTCAGGGAACCTGGGTCCTAGTCCTAGCTCTTCCGTGTATTTGCTGTGTGACTTAGAGGAAATAACTCTACCTCTCCGAAGCCCAGTTTCCTACACTGTAAAACGAGGAGGTTGAACTAGGTGATGTACAGTCTTGTCCAACTCTAACATTCTATACTACTAAACCGTAAACCCCTGAGAGTCAGTGAACATGTCAATTTTTCTGCCGAGAGCTGAGACCAAGATTTACACATATAGTAGATACTAAATATTTGGTTGTGTTAAGTTGTGACCAATACTAGCCAACAGCCAGTTAGAGTCATACAATCAAACAATGGAACCACAAAATGATACTCAAACTAGAAAAAGTCACAGAGATCATCTACTCCAACACCCTCATTTTTCAAAAATGGAAATCAAAATCAGGGGAGGGAAAATGACTCTCTCAAAGTCACACAGTGAGCCTGTGGCAAAGCTGACACTATAATTTTGATATCCTGACTCCCCAGAGTCCAGGATTCTTTCCATACTAAACCATGCTGCCTGCTTCATATGTACTACCTCATATGTTACACAACTACATATGTACTTGTGTAACACATATCCTGTTAAGCGGAGAACATCTGTCTCCTCCTAATCTCAGAATTGAAGCTGAACAGATATGGGAATGGAATGGAATACGACAGTGAATCTGAGGAATTTGGAGAAATATAGAAAGACTTGTTGCAACTGAGGCAGAGTAAGGTAATTGGAACCAAGAAAACAATATAGGTAATGAAGAGATTACTGAAAGGAAGTTGAACTCGATTAACTGAAAAAACAGAAACAAAAAACCAAAAACCCAAAGACAATTGAAGTCCCAGAAAAAAGATAACTAACTATAGCTCTCCCATCCTAGCCAAGAGGAAGGGAGTCAACTAGGAGAAAAACATTGCATACATCATCCGATACAGATACAGTCACTGTAGCAGATGCTGTTACTCTCTGTTGAAAGGGAGGGAGGGAAGAAATGATTATGACATAAAGACAAGGGATATTAATCAATTTTTTTATAAAGTAGCCAAATGGATATGGGCAGAGAGTACCCCAGTCCAAAGCAGCCATCCTCAAGGACTGGGGCCCTGGAAAAGGCCATTTATACAACAAATGTCCCTTCTAGGGAGAGTCCAAAGAGTCCAGTGTCCTCTGCAGGAATCCGGTAGTCCGGGCACTGAGCCACAGTATCTAGTTTTGAACGACTAGGCTCTTCAGCCTCCCCATTCCCCTCTTTGAGTTTCCCTGAGGATGGAAATCTTCACCAACCATCTTGTCCCCTCCTCCATCTGCTGGAAATGGTGAGCAAGTCTTTTATATGAACTTTGCAAAACCAGAAATCTACTGAGAGTCACCACATCTTGCATCTGGAAAGCAAACTCCAAAAGTCATCCAGAGAAGTCCCTTGCCTCTTAGAAGAACACTCAAACTATTTGTACATTTTTGCTGTGCAAAATATATATATAATCTGTAAATATGAAGATTCAATATTCTGTAGCATACAGAGAGCTATAGTGTATCATCTATATGAATATATATGTGCATTCTTTTTTTTTTTAAATCTAACGGAACTAGATGGCTTTCCCTTGCAATCCTCTATTGCCGGGTCCAACCCCGACATTAACTGCTCTATGCCTTTTTCTTCCCCTAGGCTACTGTATCTAGCCTGAGAGAGCTGGGTTCTCTCGAAGGGGAGTTTTTAGATGAAAGGGACATGTCTCAAGTGCGTATTTTCCTTCTATGCCTTACTGCTTGGGACAGCTCATGTCAGCTCATGCACTGTGAGGCTAGGGCCCATAGGATAGACCAGAGAGAGGAGTCAGGATCCTCAGCAATATGAAAAGTTGGATATTCACTAAAAGAAATCCTGCTTCAGATCACTGATAGTTTTATGTAAAATCTCTAGAGAAACAATAGAGATTTAAAGGTCTCTTTCTTTGGAAAGGCTCTCTCTTGCCCTAGATGAAGAGGGAATGGCAAATCTTCGGATATCACGACATGCCCAACGTGAGCTGATCTCTCTTGCTGTCTTCCCCCCCCCCCGGCCCAACCTTCTACTCTTGCTGGCCCAACATTTAGCTGCATCCATCTCTAATCCATTAACCCTGCCATCGGTCTGTGTGCAATAGCATACCCTAGGCTAGCAGAAGGTTGTCCCCACCTTGCATAGTCAAAGATGTCAGTTGAGGTTTCTGTTCCAGAGTAGGGAAGAAATCAGGGAGAAAAGTGTGCAAGACACTGACTAGTTTCTCCAAAGCTGCTGGGCACACCCACAATCTCAAACCAGACACAACAACTATGTTGTCAATGCCCCCAGAAACAGGATGGTCAGTGACCAGCAATATCACTGGGAGGGAAATAGTGGAGAAAGAGGGCACACACTAAAAAACAGGAGGGAGGGCTGGGACACACTGATCCTGCACGAAAAGGGAGGTACAAGGAAAGGGAGAGGATGGTGGGGGGGGGGGGCAGGATGGAGACAAACACCAGGCAAAAGAACTGAGGGTATATGTGGGGATATATAATCCTTTCCCCAAAACACAGGGAAGTGGGATAAGGGAAAGAGAGGACTGATCAGATCAAAAGGGCAGGGTGGTTACTGATGGAGGGGACAGATAGAAAGTAGTAAAGAGAGGAAGGGAGGAAGACCCAGATCTAAAAGAGCAGGGAATTGGGCTAGAAAAGGAATGGATGGGAAGAGAAATGAATGTAGGAGCTGGGGATGGAATGGTTTCCCGGATCAAAATAAGACAAGGGAATGGAAAAAAAGACAGTTCAAAAAAATTAGGGGGTGCAAAGATGAGACAAGCAAACATTAGGAAAAAAGATCTAGGAGAGGAAAAGGGGAGGTGCCTTCATCCAGAAAAATATGTGGAATGTTTAGTTTTTTTATAGTTTGGGGGAGGGAGAGAAAAGGCAAGCCCCAGGAGAGAATGGAAGGGTGAGTGAGGGAAGACACCTTGATCCATAAGGATGGGTCAAGGATTGAAGTGGGCAACCCGGTTCAATATCAGAGCAGATTAAAAATCACTGAAGTCTTAAGGTTGGCAGGCTCGAGGCCCTCGCCAAAGGTGAATAGGAAGTACATCACTTTTCGGATCTTGGCCAGCTCTGACAGCCTCTCCCCAAACTCCTGGGCATCTGCCTCATTCCAATCCATGGCGTCAGAGTCCTCCTTCTTCGAGAAGATGGCTGCTGGGTCCAGGAGCTGCCGGGTCATGAGGTTGGTGAGATCGGGCGTCCAGTGCTGGGAAGTGCCCGTGATGGTCACCTTGCCGGCCTTGTCCAGCGTAATGTTCCAGCGCTCAAACTGTAGTTTCTGCTGCTGGATGAAATCCAGGCGGTACACGAACTCTGATGGTCGCAGCAGCTTCTCTCCATCCTGACGCTTCTCATTGTTCTTTTTCAGAGTCTCCGCTCGTATCCTCATCTGCTTGGTCAAGTCCTCATCAAGGACCAGCGGCATTTCCAGCTGTGGTTTGTCAGCCTCCTCAGCAGCCATGGCTCCTGCTCAGCTCCTCACACTAGACCTACTGCCTCGATGAGTGTCCTGGAGTTCTGGGGCTGTGGGAAGGAGGCACACAGCCTACACCTCTGCCAACCCCGCCTCCTCCCTCCCTCACCTATTTTCTTCCAACCTGCTTGCTCCCCCCGCCCCACTCTGGCTCCTCCTTCCAACTTTCCCTACCAGTACAAGTCAGGGATTCCCAGGGCCTGATGCAGAGCCTCCCCAGGGCCCTAAGGAAAGCTTTCTTGGTTCCTATTTGCAGCGCAAGCAGGCAGGGTAACCCACAGGGAAGAAGATGGTGATGTCAGTTGCCAAGGCAACTGTTCTGACACCAACATAGAGACGATGAGGAGCTGGGGATTGTTTATGTTTAAAAGGAGGCAGTGTAAACTAGTGGAGTCTTCCACTTGGAGTCAAAGACCTGAGTTTTAATCCTACTTGTGACATTTACCAGGAGGGTAACCTTGGGCAAATCACGTGCATCGTCTGAATCTGTTTCCTCATCTGTAAAACAGGAATAATAATACTTGAACTAAATGTTGAATAAACTATCTCCCTCACAAGGCCATTGGGAGGATCAAGTAAGATTATGTATTTAAAACAATTCATGTAAAACTTGGCTATTGTTATTATTATTAAGACAAGTGTTTTAAAGCTCTACACAACAGCTGGGAAATGAGATTGAGGGGGAAGAGAAGATTCTAGTGGGGGAAACATCATATACAATGTTTTCACTGGATAGGGCTCTGGCCTTGGAGTCAGGAGGACCTGAGTTCAAATCCGGCCTCAGACACTTGACACTAGCTGCGTGACCCTGGGCAAGTCACTTAACCCCGAATGCCTAGCCAAAAAAAGCAAAAAAAAAAAAAAAACCAAAAACAACTGTTTTCATAGATTCACAGATTATCAAGGTTACAGCTTAAAATTCAACTTCTAATTTAGGCCAGTGAATTAGGGTCATAGATTTAGAGTTGCAAGGGACCACAGAGATCACCTGGTTCTTAGAGATTCTTAGAATTTTGTGTATCATAGACCCTTTTGGCAGTCAGTCTGGTGAAGCCTACAGACCCCTTCTCAGAATCACATTTTTAAAAAAAATTTATTATTTAAAAAAAAGGCTAAATTTTAGTTACAGGTTAATGTAAACAAAGACGTCCTTTTTTCCCCACATCTAGTTAAAAGACCCTTTGAAATCTATCCATAGACTCCTTGGAACTCTCTGGACCCAAGGTTAAGAACTTCAGATTTAGTCTAATCTTCTCATTTTGAAGATAAGTAAGCTAAGCCCCAGAGAGGTTAAAGGACTTGCCCAAAGTCACACGTGTAGTAAGTCACAGAAGAAGGATTTGAACCCAGATCCTCTGACTACAAAGCCAGTGCTTTTTCCATTGTACTCTTCTGCCTCAGTTTGTCTAAGGCCATAAAGGTTGTGGTACTGGAATTTCAACCCAGATCGCTTATATTCTTCCACTATGCCAAGGTGCCCATCTGAAGAAGTACCCAATGAGGGAAACATAGTTCATTCATGTGAAAAAAGTGTAAGAGTTTCAGTGGACCACAAATTCAATATGAATTTGTGTGACAATCAAAATGTAATGTAGTAGCAAGACGAATGAACATGATGTTGGCTTTGGTAACAGAAACATGGCAACCTTTGTCCTCTGCTCTCATCAGATCAGCTCTAGAGCACCATATCCAGTGCTAGGCACCATGTTTTAGAAAGGCCATTGACAAGTCAGAACATATCTGAAGGTAGGTGCCCAAGGATGGTGAGAGTCCCCAAGACCATGCAAGTCACATGAGTGTCCACTAAAGGAACTGAGGGTCTTTAGGCTAGAGAAGAACAGACATTGATAGTTGTCTTCAAGTTCCTGAAATGCTGTCATATATGGCTAAGCGGGAAGAACTAGAAGCAATTGAGGATGTCAGTGGGGGACAACTTGTGAATCAGTATAAAGAACTTAACAATCAGTGTTATCCATCAATAAATCAGACTCATTCGATTGGTAGTAAGCTTCCCATCACTAGAGGTGTCCTGGCTTTGCCAGCCAAAACCATAACTAGAGTGGATCAGCCAGGCCTCTGTCCCAGGGAATAGAAATTTGAGGATTCAAGATTTTTAACACATTTACTCTTTCTAGTTTCAGTAGCTAGAAACAACATAACTTAACAAGAAAAATTGTAGTAAAAATGGGAAACTAAAAACATCTCTGTGAGTCACTATGATTTCTCTCTCCCTCCTGAACAATGGAAGTTGTCTTAATTACTTCTTGTATTATTTCCACATCATGAATTACAAAGTTGAGTCTAGGGCATGTTTCATGCTGCTTGTTCTGGCCAACAAAATTGCTAGTCACAGCTGTGCTGCCAGGGATGGTGTAATGGATATGACAGCACTAGATAGAAAATGACCACATGAAGTCCAGTGTGGATACTCTAAGACCCTGCGTCTGGGAGCAAGAGAGGGTCCAAAGAAAGTGATACCCCAGATTACAAAGCACTCAGAGGACTCACCATCCTTGAGCTAAATTCGACTTGTCAAGGTTACCTCTTCTACCTTCAGACAGGTGAAGCCAGCTCACCCAATGTTTTGCCCAGCTCTGTGTTACCAGAAAGGTAGAGCAGCACAACTATGAGCTCAGAGAGAGCGGAAGCTGCCCCAGGATCCAGCCCATACTGGAACTACCTGCAACCAATACATTAATGCTGACAGATGACCCTGAACAGGTTAAATGACAAGGACAAGGTAAATGAGTGGGTTACAAGGATAGAATCACCATCCATTCAACTCAATTCAATTAAACGAGCTTATTAAACGCCTACTGTGTGCCAGGAACTGTTCTGGGCACTAGAGATGGAAAAACAAAAACAAGGCAATCACCTTCCTCAAGAAACAACATAGATAAGTACCTACAAAATATGATACTGAAGGTCGGGGTAATGATGACTATATTCCAAGGTCAGCAAAAACTGAAAGAAATCCATAGACCACTTAATTCAACCTCTTCATTTTGGAGTCCGTAATACAAGGTAATTTTGGCCGCTGTACAGACAGCACCAACCATCGGGGGATTAGCAAAAAGTCTATAATCTATCTTAAGTTCCCTTGGCACATGACTGTCCCTCCCAGGTCCTTTTCTCTCTATATACATGGAGGTGCTATACACCTTCTGAAAGTCCTACAGGCATCCTGACTTCAGCATGTCTAAAAGGGAACTCATTACCTTCCATACAAACCCTCCCCAACTCCACATTCCCTCATTTCTGTTAAAGATACAAATATCCTTCTCCCAAGTACCCAGGTTTATGACCTTAGAATCATCTTTTCACCAGTGGTGAGGAACCTGCTGCCTCAAGGTCACAAGTGGCCTTCTAGGTCCTTAGGTGCAGCCTTTTGACTGAGTCCAAGTTTTACAGAACAAATCCTTTCATTAAGGGTATTTGTTCTATGAAGTTTGGATTCAGTCAAAAGGCAGCACTTGGAGACCTAGAGGGCCACTTGTGGCCTTGATGTTGCAGGTTCCCCACCCCTGACTTTGATTCTTTTCTCTTTCTCCTCCCAGCCCTGTTCCTGATCTTCTGGATTTCAAAACCATGCCTCATGCTGTCCCTCTAGAACATCCAACCACTACTACCTACTCACCTACCTACTCACCATGGAATAACCCTCTTGGAATATCTCTCCACAAGGTTCACCCCTCTTCTCCCACTGGCAAGTTCCTCTAGAAGCCTCCATTTTGCAGAAACTTCCTTCCTTTCCTGGGCCAGTTCCTGACTTTCTGAACTTTAAAAACCATGTCCCCCCACTGGGCATCTTCATCCCACCACCTCTCCATGTGCATTTTCTGTTTTGTCTCATCCCCATTAGAATATAAGCTCCTTGAGAGAACAAGGATAGCAAACACTTTCCTCCCTCCCTCCCTTATCTTCCTTCCTTCCTTCCTTCCCCTACTGATACTCATCTCATCTGATCACTTACCAAACATGGTCAGTTTTGCCTCTGTGCTCATCCCTGTATTTTTGCTTCTTGTCTGGACCACTGAAATAGTCTCCTGACTGGTCTCTGTGTCCTCTCTCTAATCTATCCTCCACTCAGGTGCTAAAATCATTTTCCTAAGACACAGTTCTGAACATGCCACTCCCCTGCTCAAACACTTCTTACTGTTCATGGAATAAAATACAAATTCCTCAGCTTAGTAAAATAAGTTTGGTGTGTAAGGCTCTCCATGATCTGCCCCCCTGCACCCCTGCCACAGCCTTATTTCACATTATTTCCTTTATCATGCTCTATTTGTCAGCAAAACTCTATGTTCCAGTCATTTCCTGACCTTGACATTCCATTTCCAGTACCCAGAATGCACTCCCTCCTCATTGCCACCTTTCAGAATTCCTGTCTTCCTTCAATGCTCAGTTCAGACAGCACTCCATCTGTGAAGCTTTCACTGGTTTTCTTAGTTTTTAATGCCTTCTCCCTCCAAAGTTCACTTTGGACTATACTTATTGTAGGAGCAGCTAGGTGGCACAATAGATAGAACACCAGCCCTGGAGTCAAGAAGACTCATCTTATTGAGTTCAAATGTGGCCTTAGACACTTACTAGCTGTGTGACCCTGAGCAAGTCACACTTCACCCTGTTTGCCTCAGTTTCCTCATCTGTAAAATGGCCTGGAAAAGAAAATGGCAAACCATTTCAGTATCTCTGCCAAGAAAACTGAAATGAGGTCACAAAGAGTCCAACATGACTGAAAAGACTGAACAACAATCTTACTTGTGTTGTAGCCCCTTAGTAGACTGTAAGGTCCTTGAGGGCAGGGACTATTTCATTTCTGTCTTTGTTCCCTCAACTTTTGGCACATTGCCTCACATGTAGTAGGCACTTAAGGTTAACACCTGTTGAATTCAATCAAATGGAATACTAAGGAGCATGACCAGAATTGTGAACCCAGATTCCTCCAAATCCAAATGTTCCATGCCATGCTGTCTCTAGCAGATTCAGAGCTGGTCGCTCCAGTAATAGTTTTCGTGCGAAGCTCTTCAAGGCACCTACCTGAATTTTTTGAGGTTAAGTCACGTAGGGCAAAGCCATCACCCTACCCCAGGCTGTGCTCGGGGCCCCTAGACCATCTCCTATCAACGACAGCAACGTGAGCTGTTAGGGACATGGGGCCGATCCTGAGAGACATTTAATAATGATGATGAAAAAAATAAGAATGACGACCATTTCTATAGCCCTTTAAGCATTGCAAATTCCTCTCCTGTCAGGCAGATAGAGTAAGATGTATTAACACTAATCTATACAGGAGGATGTTGAAGCCCTGAGTAGAAACTTTTCCAGGAAGTAGAAAATCCAGCTCTTGACCCCAGGCCTTGTAAGGTTCAGGCCTCTTTTTCTATTGTACTGGCCTGGGTACTATGGTGAAGCAGGTTCCAAGGTCTAGACCTGTTCCTAAACAGAACACAGAACCATAGAATAAC